CATCTTTAAAAATACCATAATGTGGGATGAAGTATTTAGAAGATGTGTCATCGGGAGATAACAGTGTCATATGTCCCAAAGTTTCATACTCTGTCATGAATTTACAATAGACTGAAGTTAAATCTGAAGATTTGTGAAGTTTCCGTTCCAAAGAATATAGTCTACGCAGAGCAGGTTGAAATGATTCTCCTAAAGTAGGCGGGTCTTCTTTAAAGGGCAGTTTGACAACATACCGTCCGCTACTGTCACGGGTATGGGTTTGCTGAAAATGGTCTTCACAAAATTGATCATCAGGGCTTAACGCTGGTTTTGAAGGAGTTTCTTCAGTTTCCCAAAACTTCCTTAAACTTTCATCAAGTGTTGATTGTGATGCAAGAAGACATAAGTTGGACATGACAGGCGATGCGCTTGACGGGTTGAAATGTTCAAAATACTTTGAATCAACTGAGCCTAACAAAACCCATTTAAAAATACTGTGAAATGCAGAGGGTAAACCATCAGCAATAAAAAGTTTTCCTCCATCAAAAACTTGGGGAAAAATATCAGCGCCAAGCAAAAATTCAATTGGCGAAGGGATGTCAAAGTTGTTATCCGCTAACTGGATGTGATGAAAATGCTCTCGAACACATGACTTCAGCTTACGAGAAGGAAGATGATTTGTGATACGATTAAGTACAACAGCAGTAGTGACTACTTCAAGGTCATCACTATGAGGTGATTTCAAAACACACTTTACAACTCCTTTAGGTTTTGAAATGGGCACCTGGGACAAACCAGTGATTGGTACATTGTACTTGATGCGAGGCAAACAAAGTTTTTGAACGCATGTTTCAGATATGCATGATATTTGTGAACCTGGATCAATTAGACCTCTAATTTTAACAAATTGTCCAGCTACATTCTGAGCTAAAAGTTGAACAGTGCCCAACAATACATAAGACAAGGTTTCAGTAGACATAACAATTTGAGACGTACAACTGGTTTTGATTTCATTGTATTGAGTGACAACCTCACCAGCAGAGCTTCTAGGCCTATGTACAGAAGAAAGTTGAGACTCGGGAGTAGTATCCACATGTACCAAAGTGTGATGCCGCTGTGCGCATTTACGACAACTTGATTTTGAACGACATTGTTTACGCATATGTTGACTAGATAAGCAATTAAAACAAGCTTCCTTGGATCTAACAAACTCACGCCTCTGCACTGAGTTCAGTTTTAAAAAGGTCGGACATTTGTAAAGGTTGTGCATATCCGAACAATAAAGGCAAGTAGGTTTATTCCCAGAAGTGTCAAAAGCGGATAAAAATGCTTGCCGGGACGGCTCTGCCCTTTTAGGCTGTAGTCTCGATATTTGACTAGATTTTGGCAAATATTTGTCACTAAGCTTATAGGCTACATTAGGCTTAGTAATAGATGACTCATTAGCTATTTCTACTGCATGGCAGTGATTGTTCAAAAATTCTAACAGTTTATCAAAGGTTGGCAGATCTGTTTTGGGACAACTTTCTTCAAACAATTGGCGGGATCTCTTATCTAACTTTCTCAAAGTCAAATGAACTAAAATAAAATCATCAATGTTGTCTGATTTCAAGTTCTTAAGTGCTAGCCTATTTTCAGATACTGTGTCGATCATATGTCGCAAAGCGTTAGGGTTCTCACTAGTGAGACATGGTAAATTCAGCACTTCATCAATGTAAAAATTGGCAAGTACACGCTTGTTGTCATACCTGTCCAAAAGTTTCTTCCAAATGATTGAATAGTTATCATTAGTTACAGGCAACGTTCTAGCTAATGAAAGAGCCTCATTTTTTGTGGAGGACAATAAATAATGAAATTTCTGAATACGGTATTTGAAAGTCCACTTTGGTCGTGGATAAGAGATAAAAAGGTGTCTTTAAAACCTGGCCAATCCCGCAAAGTACCATCAAAAACTGGCAGACTTATTCTCGTTAAATTCAAATTGTGAACTGAAGTCGAAGCCGCTGGCTCCGGTTCAGGAGTGTTTGGATTGAAGCCTAGTTTGCTTTTCACTGACAAAATTGCATAGTATTTCTCATCAATACCTTCAAGTGATTTTTGCAACTCATTTACGTCAACAGTTATCTCAGCAAGTTTACTTAACTTAATTATTTCATTAATGCACTTGGAGTAGGCTTCATAATGTGAGTCACCTTGACTCACATGTAGCCTAACCCCCATGTAGCTGATGTTTTATGTAGCCTAACCTCAAATGTAGAGAAATTTGGTGATTCTTGGCTTAAATCTACTTCTTGGCTTAGCGTGTAAACAGTATCTATTTTTTTGCTCAAGTTTTCCTTTTTAAAACAAAGGACATCAATTTGAGATTTCAATTCAAGTTTGGCCTTTTCTGAAATAGGCATTTTGCAGACAAATTGTGTGGGTAGCCAACAGGTTCACAAGAAAATTTCAAGTTAGGTTGAGAAATAACTTAGGCCTATCAGACGTAAGCCCGATATAAATATGTGTTAAAACATTAGGCTATAGGCTAGGCCTATGTTCATCCTTGAAAATCCAAAAATAAACTTTAAACAGGCACTAGGCCTAATTCAAGGCAAAGTAGACACTTCTTCATATAGGCTAGGCCAGGCCTATGTTTAGCCAAAACTCAATAAAAAAGGTAAAAAGCAGGAAATATCAATTGGATATGTTTAGCAGCATCTTCAATTGGCATTAAATCACAAGTCGAATCTTCGTTAGGCTAGGCCTAGTTAACAGGTAAATCAAAAGTTGTAACTTACCATAAGATGGGTGTATGGTAGGCCTAATTAGGCTAATAAGACTCAATGTCAAATCTAGTTAATATTTGCAAGATATGTAAGCAAATTAGGCCTATGCTTCTTCAATTGTGTTTATAAGATGATTGTAGATCAAAATTCAATAAAATTCCAACTTCTTTCAAGTCCAAAAACTCCACTTCCTGTACAAACTTGAAGACAACTTGTAGAACTTTGTAGAAACTTGTAGAAGGTAGACAAGTTGAAGATTCCAAAAAATTGGTAAAAATAGAATTCAAATATTGAAAACACACTTCAAACAGATTTAAATTTGATATTCCTCAAAAGTTAAAATAGTTTTAAAAGCAGTGAACTAATTTAGATAGCAAAATATGAAGTTCAGAAAGTCACATGTTAAAGTTTGAAGTTGAACTATTAACTTGCACACAGTAAAAAATCGACTTTAAAAGTTAAAAAATGTAAATTAAAAGGCGGGTTCAATTAATTATGCGGTTGCGAAGGACCATGTTTTATAATGCGGGTTGAAAAAGGCGAAAATTGGTAAAAGTTAAAATGGTAAAAAGGAGGGAGCAATAGAGGTTATGACTCACCCTACATAGGTCTACTCAAATCAAGTGGGCTGAACTCAATCCTCTTCTAGCTAGAGTAGAATATCCTCAGCTTGTTTTTTAGTGCTCATGAAAGGCAGGTATTAGACAGGATTATGGAGTATGTGTGTGCAGTGGAATTGCCAAGAAATAAAGTTTGAAATACTAAACAAGGACCGTGCCCTGTTAACACTCCTACTAGTAGACTAATGTCCCCCTTCTTAAGGCTCAGCACGCCTTTCCAGCCCTTCACAGTGGGGTCAATTAGTGTTTTAGATGTCCTCATTCCTAGGTAGTTCTTCCAGGCCAAAGCCTTTTGAGCCTTGACCCAGTCTCGGACTTTGGCTACTCCTAAGCTTATGGGGGTACCGCAGTAGGGTTCGGGTCCTGACAGTTGGTCTTCCGCACCCTTCCTGGCCAATGCATTCATGCCCCGAATGTCCAGGGACCCATGACAATTTGACTTGGTTCCGCTCTGCTAGCATTTTGAGGGTGTTTTTACACCCTTTAACTGTTCGTGACTCTGTCACACATGACCCAGCGCCTTCAATGCTGCCTGGCTGTCAGAGAGAATAAGGATTTTCCCCTTGCTCAGATTCTTACCTAGAATGTTATAAGCACAATACTTAATCGCCAGGACCTCTGATTGAAATACTGTTGTTGTTCTGCCCAAGGCCAGGGATATGTTGGTTTTGTTGCCATACACTCCCAACCCTGATCTCTCATCCTTTCGACTTCCATCGGTGTAATAAACCAAGCATGCTCTATCAAAGTTGAAGTTACACTGTTGCCAGTTATCTCTTCATCCTATAGCCACTTGGTAAGGAATCTCGAAATCGTATTCTTTGTCATGAGGTCTGGTATGCTTAGTTCCATGTCCATACTTGGGAAGTCCCTTAGGATGGACAGGTGACCAGACTGCCTCTGTAGATTTAGCTCGCCTCTGCTTCCTGTTTTAAGGGCAGATATGGCTGCACATTTCTTGACTTCCAGCCTTAGTGGGAGCATGTCGGGTATTGCCTCCATCGCAGCTGGGGCAGGATTTCATGGTCCCGCAGATCCCCGAGCACACTAGCCTTTGCAGCTGCTGCAGTTTCCTGCCAGCTACTATCTGCTCAGCCTTAGGCCACCGCACTAAGGCTGCATATGAAACCATTGGTTCATAGTACTATAGCTTCATTAGTCCAATGTATAAGATTGGGACTCATTTCTTGCCAAAGGTTCTTCTGCAGGCTCCAAATGCTCCTGTGCCTTTTGCAAGTACATAGTCAAAATGCCTGCTCCAGGTAAGTTTCTGGTCCAGGTAAACTCCAAGGTATTTTGTTTCCTTCACAAGTTTTACTCTTTTCCCCTGAATTTTGGGGGGTGTTAGATTTGTTCTCCTTCTTGTAAAGGTTATCTCAGTTTTGTCAGGGTTAATTGTGAGGCCCTCTTTGGAGCACCACCCCTCAATGAAGCTCATGTCTGTCTGGGTGAGGTTGTTCACTGTGGCTGCATGTTTTCCTCTGACAGTCAGCACTAGGTCGTCTGCAAAGGCTTGGAGGTCCATGTTTTTCCTGTCTGCCTCTCTCAATAGATCGTCCACAACAAGAGCTCACGACAAGGGCGAGATAACTCCTCCTTGAGGGTACCCCTGTCAAGCTATGATAGCTGTAGATTAGCCGCCCAATTCTGCTGTCACCTCCCTGCTCTTGAGCAGAGCGTTAATCCAAGCTGCTAAGTCGGGGGAGATGCCCCTGCTTCTGACTGCAGCATCTATGGAGTTGTAACTCACATTGTTAAAGCACCTTGTATGTCCCCTGCCAGGAATTCCTGGTGTTCCAGAGTTTCCTCGATCTTTGCCACTAGGGTGCTTAGGGCCATTGTTGTTGATTTACTCTTCATGAACGCATGTTTGCTCGCACTAAGGGGGTTGATATCTAAATATGTGTCCCTAATGTGGTGGTTTATCACTTTTTCCATGGTCTTTAACATGAAAGACGACAGGCAGATTGGCCTGTAGGACTTAGGCTGGGCCTGGTCTCTACCTTTTTCAGGAGAAACCCCACCCTTGAATTCCTCCAACAGATTTGGATGTATCCTAGGGCAAAGCTGCCCCTGAACAAAGCTATCATATGATTTATAAGGACCTCTAGTCCTTCTTGGATGAGAGCTGGGAATATTCCGTCCCCGCCTGGGGACTTGAAAGAGCTAAAAGATTCGACAGCCCACTTCACGACCTCCGGCTTGAACAGCTTACTTGAGAATCTTCTCGCCATTGCAATTTCCCTAGGCGATTTCCTATTCCAGGGTATCAAGTGTTGTCCTGTTGAATTGCCTAATGGGGTGTTCCCTCGGAAGTGGGTGTTCATGAGGACTTCAAGAGTCTCCTCCATGCCTGTTGTGTGACTCCCATCCTCCCGTATTAATGTGCCAAGAGGATTAGGCACATCCCTCTGAAGGGCTTTTTGGAGTCTGGCTGATTCTGGTAGGTTTTGAATCCCCTCACAGAATTGCCTCCAGGTCTTCCTTTTACTTTTCCTTGTCTCTGAGTTGTACTCCATTAGGGCTCTTGAGTAGTTAGCCCAATCCCTCGTTCTTTTTGTGGTGTTAAAGAGTTTCCGGAGTTTACATCTCATCTTGCTTAGCCTCTCGTTCCACCAGGGCACGTTTCTTGTTGTCCTTTTGGTTTTGAGAGGACAGTATACCTCGTAGGCTTTTAGCATTGACCTGTTTATCAGTTCTGCCTTCATGTCAAGGCCGTCAATGGTCATGAGTTGGGGTCACCTTATCTTCAACTTCATCCCTGAGGGATTCCCTGTATCCCACCCAGTCAGTTGTTTTAAGAGCCCTGTATGTCAAAGCGCTTTTGATACTTGCTAAGCACAGCTGATTAGTTGAAGTTCAAATCATTACAATTTAATTCTCTATCAATCCTTGAACCTCATTGGTCCGTTACCTGTGTTGTTATGAGTAAAACTATGCTGTTATGAAAGTAAACAATGCTATGTGAAACTTTTCAATTATAAGAACTGAACTGAAACGGCTACTTTAAAAAACGGTCGTAGGTAAAATAACTTTTAAGCACAACATAAAGGAAGTAAAATGTTTGGATTTAAAAGTAGCTTCCCCAACATTGATCTAGTAGCTAATTCTGTTTTATACACTCTATGGTACCATATTCAAACCAACAGACATAGGGTAAACTACGATAATGACTGGCTAGTCCATGCGAGCAAATCCCCTTAGGTCCAAAGGAATACACGACTAGTGGAAATGTAACAAGCTATTTTGAAAATATACAGAATTTGTTAATTAAAGTGAAAGCAAGTTAGGCTACTGATACTGAATTATATACGTACGGTATGTCTAAATGACAATACCGAACAAAGCATTAGTTTCAAGAACGCTATGCGCACAGTTTTTGCATTCCTGCATACATCAGCTTTGCTATTTCATGAATCAGCCTCTGTCTGTTTCCCAAATCAGTATCTCTATGAATCAGTTTGGGGTTTCCTGAGATTCTTTGGCCTGAAATATCAAACATTCATTCCTAATGGAGTTTTTAAAAACATATTTAGTATTAGGCCTAAACATCTTTTGTCATTAACATTTACATAAACCTTTTAAGTGCAGCTTTGTATTAGATCCTATTAGACAAATTCTTCAAGATCATTTACAATTTTGTAAAATAAAGAAATAGATAAAGCCATTGACTATTTATACCTATAGTCAATGATAAACCATACTCCCCTAGTAGATTTCTCATCCTTAGCCAGAAGCCAATTTTATTGTTGGTTCCGTCAGTGCACTGTAGGCTGTGTTTTGTTTACAATTTGTTTCTTGTTACAGTAGAACATCTTTAATCCGAACCCCCGTAGTCCGAACATCCACTAATCCGAACGCCTCATTGCTGTACTCTATACACAGTACAGTACAGTACCTAGTTCTTTATTGTATACTGTATTTTTTTTTATACACGCATCGCAATTGTTTTTATTGTAATGTACAGTACTGTTTATTCACTATGTTTACTACTGTATTAAATAATCACTGTATTTTACTTTATAAAGCATTTTTTCACTTTACCCAAAAAAATTACGATCCATTTTAGCTATTGTTATGTAAAAACAATAATATGTTCTGTAATCCGAACTATTCACTAGTCCGAAGAACCCCCGGTCCCAATTAGTTTGGATTAAAGAGGTTCTACTGTATTTCAGTCATTTAAAACCTCATTCAACCAAATAAACAATCTAATCTTAAACAATAACTTGTCCCCTAGTAATACAACCAAATTGAAAAGCACAAATCTTGAAATATCTCTAAAATAATAGAAACAAAATTTCATGGACGCTTGATCAATGTCGGACATGAGATAGACACGAAAAATGAGCTTTAAAATTTAAAATGGGATGAGAAGTCCACTTGTGTTGGTTAGTCGATTAAGTGTAACAAAGGGCCACGTAGCCCTAACTTTACCTGTGTGTTCATTCAAGATTTTGATTACCGTACATATATGTTGGTCCCTGGGATAACATAAAACTAAGCTAATTCAAGGGGGCCTGCATTGATTCTGGGAAGGGACCCTAACCCAAAAAACCATTTCAGTATTAAACACTTTATGCTCACACTGAATATATCTTCCAGAACTATTTAGATGCAATGGCTATAGTTCAAGTTCACGGCAAACCTACTTAATTCATCACAATGACTTGCAATCCGAAATGGCCAGAAATCACAAGAATATTAAGTGATACAGCGGAATCGGCAAATTATCGCCCCATTATATATTATTGGTTGAGTTTACGACCACTGGACGACCTCTAGTTTATATTAAATAGGATGTAATGACCTTTTCTAACTATGCCAAAATATTGGGTTGAAGTAGGAAAAAGATTTGCTTGAAGGAGCAAGGTTCAAGAAACTTTACAAAGAGTAAAAATGTAACACATACAAATTCACAATACTCAATTTTAGATAGTGTGAAGGCTACAACCCTGATTTTAATCATTTTTATATTCATAAGCTAGTATAAATTATTATTACTATTATTATTTTTTTTTAATGCCTTTTACTCATAAATGAACAAACAATAAATATGTATGGTTTGTTTCAGAAGTGGCAATAGACAATCCCAGACATAAGGAACAGAAACTTTAGTTTGTTGCCGTGAAGCTGCATATCATCTTGATGTAATACTTAAAACAATAGCTAAAAAAGGTATTAAGTTTCTATTGAACACTATAAAGAATCAATAAAGTCAATAACTACTTTGTAAAACTATAACTAAGCCTCTATATTATAATTAATATTTAATATAAGATTTGATAAATGTTTAAAAGTAAAAAAAACTGATAATTTATTTAAATAGGCCAAGTAATATAATACAATTGAACTTAAGAGACAAGTAAAAGAAGTAGGCCTACGGTAACATTCTACATCTATATCGTACAATAAGTTATACAAATCAGTTATGAGATTAGAGCAAGATATGTCTAAAAATTAAATGAGACCTATAAATATAACTTTTGAACATTTAACAATATCTTCAAACAGGGGAAATATTTTAATGGACATACAAAGTATTCTGTCTTAATGAGTAATTAATTAGCGACTAGGTTATCTGATAAGTTCCATAAAGCAAGATAGTAAAAAGTTAAAAATGTTAAAAATCACTAAAAAGCTTTCTAATCAGTGTCCATTATGTAGAAAGATCTTTTCATGTCAGACAAAAATGAGGAATCATATATTGAAGCATACAGGTGAGCGTCCCTTTAAATGTTTGAAATGTGAGAAAACATTTATCCGACTAGATCAAGTAACGAGTCATTTAATGATGCATTCTGGAGAGCGGCCTTTTAAGTGCAATACTTGTGAAAAAACCTTCACAACCAAAAAAGGTATGGACAGTCATAAATTAGTTCATACGGAAGAGAGACCTTATACCTGCACTGCATGTGGAAAATCCTTCAGATTTAAAAGCAATTTGAAGGTACATACATTGCTTCATATGGGACAGCGACCTTATAAGTGCACTTCATGTGGAAAATCCTTCAAAAACCAGAGCAATATGAAATTACATACATTGGTTCATACTACTGTAGAGCGACCTTATAAGTGTAATACATGTGGAAAATCCTTCAAATTTAAGAGAATTTTGAAGAACCATACATTGGTTCATACTGTAGAAAGACCTCATAAATGTGATACATGTGGAAAATCCTTTACAGCCAAAAAATATTTGAAGATACATACATTGGTTCATACTGGAGAGCTACCTTACAAGTGCACTACATGTGGAAAATCCTTTAGATACAAAAATGGTATTACGAAACATAAATTTTCCCATACTGGAGAGCTGCCTTATAAGTGCATTACATGTGGAAAATCATTCACAAGCAAAAGCTATATGAAGGAACATAAATTGATTCATACTGGGGATGGAGCTTATAAGTGCAATATATGTGGAAAATCCTTCATATCCAATTCAAAAATGAAGAAACATACATTGGTTCATGCAGGAGAGAGACCTTTTGAGTGCACTACATGTGGAAAATCTTTTAGAAGCAAAAGTAGTTTGAAGGAACATATATTTGAACATACTGGAGAGCGACCTTATAAGTGTACTACGTGTGGAAAATCCTTTAAAGCTAAAAATAATTTGAGGAAACATACATTTGTTCATACTAGAGTCCGACCTTATAAATGTACTACATGCAGAAAGACTTTTATAACCATTGGCCAACTGAAGAGACATACATTGGTTCATACTGGAGAGCGGCCTTATAAGTGCAATACATGCGGAAAATCCTTTACATTCAAACCCGACTTGAAGAAACATACATTGGTTCATACTGGAGAGCGACCTTATAAGTGTACTACTTGCGGAAAATCCTTCACAACCAATAGTTTCATGAAACGACATGCATTTGTTCACACTGGAGACAGACCTTATAAATGCAATACCTGCAAAAAGTCCTTTATAACCAGTGGCCACTTGAAGAGACATAAATTGATTCATACTGAAGAAAAACCGTATACGTGTCATACATGTGGAAAATCCTTTACCGAAAAAACTAACTTGAAGAATCATACATTGGTTCATACTGGAGAGCGACCTTATAAGTGCACTATTTGCGGAAAATTTTTCTCAACCAATAGTATAATGAAGACACATACATTGATTCATACTGGAGAGCGACCTTATAAGTGCACTACTTGCGGAAAATCCTTCACAACCAAAAGTATAATGCAGACACATTCATTGATTCATACTGGAGAACGACCTTATAAGTGCACTATTTGCGGAAAATCCTTCTCAACTAATTGTGCAATGAAGAAACATACATTGATTCATACTGGAGAGCGACCTTATAAGTGCACTACTTGCGGAAAATCCTTCTCAACCAAAAGTATAATGCAGACACATTCATTGGTTCATACTGGAGAACGACCTTATAAGTGCACTATTTGCGGAAAATCCTTCTCAACCAATAGTGTAATGAAGAAACATACAATGGTTCATGCAGGAGTTTGACCGTATAAGTTCACTTCATAAAAATCCTTCAGAGCCGAAAGTAATATGAATGAACATGCATTAGCATATACCGGAGAGCGATGAATGCACCACAATTGCAAACTTCTTAAGAATTATAAAACCTTTGATGTAACAAAAATCTGTTCAAACCGGAAAATGACTCACATACGTTCATTACATAGGAAAAAATCTTACACCTAAATGCTATTTAAAGGAACACTAGTAGCAAGCGTCACTTTGTAATTTCAGAATCCATTACATTTTTTCATTAATGTACAATTAATGCTCTGAGCTAAATTAATTATCTATTTTATACGTGATAATCATTAACTTATCACTGACTTATTTTTAAGCAAACCCTGAACATAACATTGTTATTATTAGTTTTTTCCAATACAATATAAAATCACGCATAAATAAATGGTATCAGAAATCTGACGTATACTTTCTCCCATAAGCTTGTCAACAACCTTTAACCTCAACAACCTCTAAAGGTTTTTAGATCATGTGAGCTATGATAATTTTGTAGGAAATAATCACAAAAGTTGTTATAACTTTTGAACAGTAATTGTTACAGTAATGGGGATTGCATTATTTTGTTTAGAATTATAAGGACCATAACACATTAATTTTAATAAAATACCCCCGCCGCAGCAAACCTGCAGACTAAGCGAATTTCCATTTGCCTGATTGGATTTACACTAAAATGTCTCCTTAAAAATATTACATTTATTCCCTATTTAAATAGCATTTGTTTAACAAGTACCTACTTAGGTTTGCTGCGACAGGGAGGGTGGTAAAAAAGTGTTTTTTTGTAAAATTTTTATAGTTTAGTATGAAATGAATGCATTTTCCGAATTTGATCAAAATGTGCTCTTAAGCAAGCAAACTACAACAGTTTAAAATTTTCTCCATAAGAATCACAGGAGAATTTTAAATTTACTTTTTTTTTATTTTCTCCGTAGCCATTAGGCGCATAATAATTCTTCAATATACTAAATTATTTGTTTTTTAAGCTCTACAAAATGGTTTGGAAAAAAGTTGCTAAATTTTATGTTTTTAGGGTCAAAAATGGGAAAAACCAATTTTTACCCCATAAAACCCCCCATAAACCCCTCTACCCATAGTCCGATGCTGGTTCGCGAACTCAACCAAATAAACGTAGGTTTACACGTTTGTACCAAATTTCATAAAAATCTGATGACTTTTGCTTGAGTTATCGCGCTAACGGACACATATATCTATATATATAAAATCCAATGTATGTTTGTTTGTTTGTTTGTGCGTTTGTGCTTTATGGACTCCGAAACCGCTCGACAGATTGTAATGGAACTTTCAGGCATTATTAAGCATTATTCAAGGATAGTTTGTGTGAAGTTTGGTGCAGATCCGTCAAAAGGGCGCCGCCCCAGTGGCTCTTTAGTTTTCCATGTTAACCTTATGAGTACTCATATTTAAATGGAATTAAAGAATCTTTACAGCTGGTTCAACTAAACAGTTTGATTCTGTGATGTTCAATAGCATTAATACCCCCGCCGCAGCAAACCTGCCGACTAAGCGAATTTCCTTTTTTCTGAATTGATTTTCATCAATTATATTTAAATAACAAAAGGTTTAACGAGTATCTAGGTTTGCTGCTACAATGAAACTGGTAAAGTGTGTTTTTTAGTCAAATATTAATAGCTTAGTTTAAAATAAATAAATTTGCCAAGTTTGATCAAAATATATCCATAAACAAGCAAACTACAACATTTTACAATATTCTTTATAAGAATAACATGGGAATTTTAAATTTACAATTTTTTTAAATTTTCTCCGTTGCCAATAATTTAACAAAAATACTTTGATATACTAAATTATTTGTTTTTTTTAAGCTCTTTAAAAAGGTCTAAAGAGAAATTTGGAAATTTTGTGTTTTGAGGGTCAAAAGTGAGAAAAACCAATTTTTACCCCATAAAACCCCCTGTAAAACCGTGTTCCCATGGTCCGATCATGCTGGTTCGCGAACTCATTCAAGTTTAACCCGCTTTACACCTTTAAACCAAATTTCATCAAAATCGGACAAAAATTACTCAACTTATCGCGTTCACGGACACATATATATATCTAACAAAAAACCACTAAGTGGTAACACTTTCCCCGCCAAGTCAGCAATCCAAAAAAGTTAATAAATCATTACTTTTTCCGCCAAGAAAAACAATGTAATGTATGTAAGTTTGGCAACTTGGCGGCAGACTTTTGCTTGGTTTTTTCATTTTAGTTACGTTCGTGGATAATTTCACAAATCAACTTCTCTAATTAATTAGTCCAACTAAGTATAATTTATGAAATATGGCACAAATAAGGTCAAATTTTGTAAAATAAGCTCTCACCTAGCAATGTACCAATGGGAGGGATACTTGCTCAATGAAACTAGTTTTATGGTATTTTTTAAAGGGATCGAGCAAAAGTCTGCCGCCAAGTTGCCAAACTTACATACATTACATTGTTTTTCTTGGCGGAAAAAGTAATGATTTATTAACTTTTTTGGATTGCTGACTTGGCGGGGAAAGTGTTACCACTTAGTGGTTTTTTGTTAGATTTTATTTATTTTTGTAGAAAATTAACAGTTAAAATAAAAATCCTCTTTTCTCTGATATATAGACCACGGCACAACTACATCTCATTTAATTTCAATAATATTGTTAATGTAGAACTAAATTCTACATTTTTGGTCTTATATGCTTTAAACAGATTAAAAACTTTTTGACACACGTACCAAAATTACTATTTAACAAACCCACTGGGCTTAAACTCAGTTTCAAATTTCATCAATGCTCATCTTGAACAACATAAAATGTGTTGATGTTACATAAGTGTTCTAATAATTAAACCCGTATATCTAAAGACTAGTGTAAATTGAGCCCTTATTAGAGATGTAAAAATGTAATCAAACTAATTAGGTTTGTTAGAAATAGCATAAGGCAAAACAAATATTGAATAACTCATTTATCCTAAATTTACATATCACTTTTTAATTGCTTGTTTAACATATGTAGAGTGATTTTCCCGATCGTTTTATTTGTTTTAGTGTATCAAAACATAGAACAAACCTTAGTACTAGCGTACTAGTACTAAGTTTCAAGTTCCTAGGTTTCATATGTTTTGATAAGTAGTATTAAACTGTTAGAAATGACGAGCTGCTGTACCAGTGTACCATCGGTACACTGCATTTTTCAATGGAAAGTATTGGGGAATATCACTGCTCTAAGTAATTTTATATAGTAAGTAGTTCAAATCATTCAGTATACCTGAAAAAAATACTTTATAAAAGTATTAAAATAATTTTTCAGCTGTTCCTATGAATTTCTCTAACATTTAATTAATTAAGATTTAATCGCAGCTGGTCCTTCTTTTGTCTTGATTTTAATCCCATGTTATTTAAATGGGCCAAACTCGTACTTTGAGGGCTTGCCAAGGGTTTATGGGTAAACGCGCCGACTTGAGACCCTCAAAAGGCACATCTACACGCTAAGGGCTTTCAAACAACATAAAAAACATTAAAATTGAGCCAGTGGTTTGGGCTGTAGGTCCGTCAACATTTAAGGAGAAGAAGGAGAACACGGAAAATTTGTGAATTTTCAAACTAGTTTTTCTTGGCTCAAACACAACCGTTTTTTAAATTCTTTTTTTTAATTTTGTTGAGAATGATTGCCCCTATCCAGTAGATGAACAATTATTTTAATAGTTTTTGTTTCTTCAGAGCTATAGACGAGTAAAAAAGCCACTTTGTCACGTCATGTATATATACACTGCAGCAGCTGTGTACCGCTGGGGGACTTGGCGGGGCGGAACGCTGCCGCGTTCCTTAATATATAAATCTTTCTCTATATATATATATATATGCATATATAAAAATTTGAACGAATGGTGTTTTTGGCCTCTGGGGACATCAAAATGAAAAAGTAAATCGGTCCCGGGCCTAGGTCTTACCATGCCACCTACGGTAACAGCTACTTCCCTATAGGGAAATTCGCTAAAAAGTAATAGGTTTACCAACAGAGTGCAGCACTATTATTTTTTTTTAATTTATGACAACAGCTAATTTGCAACCAAAAGGTGAGTGAGCGTAGCGAACGAACTTCAACCAGGACGTGATTGAGCCATGCGAACGAGCTCATCTTAAAAATGAACGAGCATTTGACATAAAACCACATTAGGACAGGACGAAGTCTGTCGGGCTAGCTAGTAAATGTATAAAAATACATTATTTGAAACTAAGTAGGTAGGTACCCTTTAAAAAAAATCATTTTATTGATTTTATTGATTTGTAATAAAATGAGTTTTTAAAAGGATACTTAGTTTCAAATAATGTATTTTATATCAAAATAGTAGCCCTAATCACTACAGTTTTCATAATATAAATATATATGTATATTTATATATATATATATATTAATAAGCAAAATAATAAAAACCAGAGTACCCTGAAATTCATTTTTTATTTAAACTGATACGTATTTCGGCACTAAGGCCATGATCACAGTATGAGTGATATGAAAGTATGTAAACAATTAAAATAAATAAATAGTTAATGACATGTTTTGAATTCAAAGTAAAATTTTGATTAAATGGTTAGGTGTATTTTTTAACATGTAGATGTGTAAGATTCTTCTCTGATTTGTCTGATTTTTTCATGAATTGGATTTTGTTTTTGTTTTTGCATTATATTGAAGAGTATTTTATAAAGTATTTTATTTATTTTAATTGTTTACATACTTTCATAACACTCATACTGTGATCATGGCCTTAGTGCCGAAATACGTATCAGTTTAAATAAAAAATGAATTTCAGGGTACTCTGGTTTTTATTATTTTGCTTATTAATTGAAAAAGTACAGTAGTCCTAAAAAGTGAACAGAATTATCAATATATATATATATATATATATATATATGAATTTAATTGGATGGTGTTTTTTGCCTCTTAGGGACCTCAAAACAGAAAAGTAAATCGGTCCCGCGTCCAGGTCTTACCAAGAGTACTACGGTATTAGCTTATTCCCTATATGGGAAATTCGCTAAAAATGGGGTTTTTTCTGAAATTAATTTTGTTTGTAATTTTATGGGATTTTTTATGGAATATTAACATAAAATTACAATAAATTTTGTACCGTAATTTCTATAGAAATGGGATTTACACCATTTTATTTTCTTCAGAATCTTAAGCACTATAACATGGGTACTCAATCAATCAAGAAATTTATTAACACAATAATTACCAATACATAGGATACAAAAGTGCAAAAACCACAAATGGTTTGTCTGCACTAAAAATTTTTTTACTAAAATTTTTAAGGTGCTAAATTTTAATCAAAATGATTCCGACAGTTTTTGAGAAAATTAGATTTTTCGTTATTTTATGGGTTTTTATGGCAAAATCCCCATTAAAAATCTAAATTTCAAGAAAATGAAAAAAATACCCTGGAGATACCATGGATTAGTACCTACATACCAAATTTCATCAAAATCGGACAACAGAGGTGGTCTGTAGCTCTGTACACATCCTCACACACAGACACACTGACTTCACTTCAAAAACCACATTCAGGGTTCAGGGGGACCCAAAATGGATATATCTACTCAAACTCGAAAATTTGACGAAAACAACACTTTCTCCATATACTTATTACCAACGCGGATATATCAGCTCATGGTTTTTGATGTTCCGGACGGGAAGCGGATATATCCGCCTTCTCTTCAGGCAGACTGGAAGGTGCTTAAACAGTAACCAGATGTTTGGCG